CGCTGGGAGCCAGCGGGGATGGAACGGGAGGCGTCGCCGTGGGGCCTCGAACCCCGGGATGTGCAAAGTCCTGACGAAGTGGGGCCCGAAGGGTCCCTCGAAGGTGAGGGAGGGAGCGCCCCTCCAAGGAGCGTGCCTGGGAGGGGAGAGGGGGCTGCGGTCCGTGGGCGGGGAAGGGAATGGGGGGTTTGGACACCTGGGACCTGGGGAGGGGGGGGCGGGGGCCGGGTGTCCCGGGTTTGCTGTGGGGAAGGTGGGAATTTCAGCACCTGCACGAGGGCCAGCGACCATGTTTGAGGAGCAGGGAGAGGCTTGTGCAACTAATTAGTGGTGGGACCCAGCGACCTTCCAGGCTCCACACAATCTGGGTTTTCTGTAATTCTCTGATCCTGCAGGCAACATGCGTGAGAATGAGGAAGAGGAAATTTCTCAGCAAGAAAGCACTGGGGACTATGAGGTCGAAGAGATACCTTTTGGGCTGGAACCCCAGAGCCCTGGGTTTGAGTCACAAAGCCCAGAGTTTGAACCCCAGAGCCCCAGGTTTGAGCCTGAAAGCCCAGGTTTTGAGTCCCGAAGCCCTGGGTTTGTGCCCCCAAGCCCCGAATTTGCACCCAGAACCCCTGATTCAGATCCTCAGAGCCCTGAGTTTGAACCACAAAGCCCTGGGTATGAGCCCCAGAGCCCTGGGTATGAACCCCAGAGCCCTGAGTTCAAAACCCAAAGCCCTGAATTTGAAGCTCAAAGTTCCAAATTCCAGGAAGGTACAGAGGTGCTTCTCAATCCCGAGGAAAAGAGTCCCTTGAGCATCCCCTTGGGAGTCCATCCCTTGGACTCCTTCACACAGGGGTTTGGGGAGCAGCCCACAGCAGACCTTCCCCTAGGGCCACCTTTTGAGATGCCCACAGGGGCCCTGCTGACTACCCCCCAGTTTGAGATGCTCCAGAATCCTCTGGACCTGACAGGAACCCTTCGGGGTTCAGGCCGACGGGGTGGTCGGGCCAGGGGTGGACAGGGCCCTCGGCCTAACATCTGTGGCATCTGTGGGAAGAGCTTCGGCCGGGGCTCCACCCTCATCCAGCACCAGCGAATCCACACGGGCGAAAAGCCCTACAAATGTGAGGTCTGCAGCAAGGCCTTCTCTCAGAGCTCTGACCTCATCAAGCACCAGCGCACCCACACGGGGGAGCGGCCCTACAAGTGTCCCCGTTGTGGCAAGGCCTTCGCCGACAGCTCTTACCTGCTTCGCCACCAGCGCACTCACTCTGGTCAGAAGCCCTACAAGTGCCCGCACTGCGGCAAGGCCTTCGGAGACAGCTCCTACCTCCTGCGGCACCAGCGCACGCACAGCCACGAGCGGCCCTACAGCTGCCCCGAGTGTGGCAAATGCTACAGCCAGAACTCATCCCTGCGGAGTCACCAGAGGGTGCACACTGGGCAGAGGCCCTTCAGCTGTGGCATCTGCGGCAAGAGCTTCTCCCAGCGCTCGGCACTAATCCCCCATGCCCGCAGCCATGCCCGCGAGAAGCCTTTCAAGTGCCCCGAATGCGGCAAGCGCTTTGGTCAGAGCTCTGTGCTGGCCATCCACGCCCGCACCCACCTGCCAGGCCGCACCTACAGCTGCCCAGATTGTGGGAAGACCTTCAATCGCTCCTCCACGCTGATTCAGCACCAGCGTTCGCACACGGGCGAGAGGCCCTACAGGTGTGCTGTGTGCGGCAAGGGCTTCTGCCGCTCCTCCACGCTGCTGCAGCACCACCGCGTCCACAGCGGGGAGCGGCCCTACAAGTGCGATGACTGTGGGAAGGCCTTCTCCCAGAGCTCCGACCTTATCCGCCACCAGCGAACCCATGCCGCTGGCCGTCGCTGACCAGGGCTGTGGTGGGCAGAAGGGGAGGGGACGGAGCTAGAGAAACCTTTAGAATAGTGGAAAGGCTGGAGGAGTTGAGGATTCTAGGAGGAGAGGGGGCTAGGGAGGAGAAAGTTATATGCCCTGGAGATTTATGGGAAATGGGTAATGAAGAGGGGTTGGAGGTAGGCCAAACAGGCTGCAGGAGGCTCTGGAAGAATTCAGAAAGAGGTCAACAGAGAGCTGGCCTCAGCAGCAGCATGCTCCTTCGCAGACGCCTGCTTGGCAAAGCGCTAGATGGGGGAGGGAGGGGAGGGTTACTTAATTAGAGTGGGGTAGCTTAGTTCCGTAGCTACTGAGACCCTTGTTGAGTCAGGAAGGGGTGAGGGGAGGTGGGATGGGGAGTAAAGCCCAGAGGGGGCCTGGGCCTCTGAGTGCAACCCCCAGTCTCCCTTGTCCTCAGGCTTTGGAGCCCCTGAATTTGAGTTCAATAAAAACCTCTCTGTGGTTAAAGACATTTGTCGTTAAAATGTGTGCATGGACAGTGCCCTGGGCAGTGGGAGCACTAGGTCATCACTAGAAGAGCCAGCGAAGCCGTAGGGCCGTGTCTGGGAAGTGCTGTTAGAGTCAGGATTTCACTGGTCTTAGGCTCAGGAGAAGTGACTTGCCCATTCTGCCCAGGTCCTCTCCGATGCTTTGAATGCTGCACAGACACAGAAGGGCCTATTGTGGGTTTGAGAAAGCCTTTCACCTTTGTGGCTATCCCTCTTCCCAAACAGGGAGGGTCTGCCCTTGGGCCAGAAAACACCCTGATCCTCATATCTGGGCATGGAGCCTGGGTACCATTTCCCCCCGGCTGTGCCGCTCTCCCACCTCCAACCCCCACCCCACACCCCCCAGCTGCAACCTCTAGCCACCACTCTGTGCAGATCCTGACTCTGACCAGAACTTCAAGTTTCAACCCCATCCATAGGGGTTTTTGTATTGGACCCAGTAGGAGGATTGGATGTCGGCCTTTAAGACCCTCCCACCAGGCTGGCCTGATTTGCCACAGCTCTGCCTCCTTTTTAGGACCCCTGTACCTTTCGGTGGGGTCACCCTGTTACCACCCCACCTTTATCCGACTTTCCATCTGAGCCTCAGCCCTCCTAACACTGGGCGTGGCCTGTGATACCTCAGCTGAGGGGACAGGCCCTGCCTTGGGGAATCACCCTGCTGCTAGGCACATTTTGAGATGAATTCCTGCTAAGGGCCTCACAGTGAAAGGGCCCTGTGAAAGGTTTATTTATTCTATTTCACAGATTAGGAAAATGGAGCTCAACTAAGTGGCCTGTTCGAAGTCACTCTGTGACTTAAGAGGCAGATAAGACATTCAGACCAGGTCCGCCTGGCTCCACCTGTCCCCAGCTTGGCCTCAGGCAGGTGGGGAGTGTTGCTCTCTAAGGCCTCTAGGGCCTCAGGCTCCTGACCTCATCCCCACCCCATGCCCAGCCTCAGGGCCGTATAACTTGCCAAGAGGAAACCACTCCTTTCAGCACATTTCAGTCCAGCCTCTCAGGATCTGCAAGCCCTGGAAGGGCCTAGACCAGGGGTGGGCAAACGTTTTGACTCGAGGGCCACAATGGGTTCTTAAACTGGACCGGAGGGCCGGAACAAAAGCATGGATGGAGTGTTTGTGTGAACTAATATAAATTCAAAGTAAACATCATTACATAAAAGGGTACGGTCCTTTTTTTTTTTTAGTTTTATTCATTTCAAACGAGCCGGATCCGGCCCGCGGGCCGTAGTTTGCCCACGGCTGGCCTAGAGAGCATGTGGTTCAGTAGAGTTTGGTTGTGTTTAGTGGTTTTCAATATTTTTGGAAGTAGATCCCTTAAAGTAAAGTCTCAGTCTTTTAAAGATCTTTATGAACGTTATGCACATTTTTGTACAGACACCCTACCATACAAAAGTTCAAATATTAAAATACTCTGACTCCTATACTTAATATAGTTCATATACTAGTACGTAAGTATATACATAGAATGGCATTTGACTACCTGAAATACTACATTGGAGACATTACTTCAGCATTTATTTCAATTATACAATTTAATTTTTATATTTTGGAGTTGATTCTTTTTTCAGCTTCCAAACATGCTCATGCTGGGAGGCCCTGGGCACGGTGCCTGTGGTGCTTAATTGATAAAGTAGCTTGTACGCACAGAACATCATAATAAAAGGCTAATATGCAAATGGTTATTACGCCGTGATACATAACGACTGATCAGCAGGGACCTGAGGCTGCGTGGTGCCTGGCCGGGGTGGGGGGCCTCAGGCTGCCTCCCCCTGCCTGGCAGGGCTTGATGGGGGACCTGAGGCTGTGCCCCCCACCTGGCGGGGCTTGATGGGGGTGGGGCTGGCTGGGTCTGGGTCTCGCCCAATGGGAGTGGGGCTGTCCAGGTCTGGGTCCTCCTGCGATTTCGAAGCATGTGCAGGTGGGTGGGGACTTGACTCTGGGTCCCACGGCACGCCCCAGACTCTGACAGGAGGGAGATTTTTAAAAAAATATATATTTTATTGATTTTTTACAGAGAGGAAGGGAGAGGGATAGAGAATTAGAAACATCGATGGGAGAGAAACATCGATCAGCTG